TGAAATTTGAAATTAATTATGAAGGAATAAAATTAAACACACAAAATAAATAAATAAATAAATAATAAGAAAAAGATGGAGCACGAATAATAACTTCATCAAAAATACTTTAGATGGTTGTGTTTGTTTATCAATAATCAAACTTCATCATAATAAATATAAACAATAATACATTAAGAAAAAGATGGAGCACGAATAATAAATTCAAAAGTAATTTTATGATTACTACTGGTGTTGTAAACGAATCGAACCGAACCGAGCTTGGGCTGTTCGAGCTCGTGTTCGTTTACGTTCGAACAATGTTCGTGTTCGTTCGTTTATTTTTCGAGCAAAAAATCGTATTCGAGTTCGTTCGTTTAATTGTTCGTAAAAGTTCGAGTTTGTTCGTGTTCGAATAATTTAATACATAAATTTTTTAAATATGTTTGATTAATTCAAAATTTGTTTGTACGAACTCGTTCGAACTCGAAAATAAATGAATAAAATAAAAATATTTTATATTTTTTATTTTTTATTAAAAGTATTATGTAAATATATAAAAGATAAATAAATATATATTAAATTTTAATTTTTTTATTAAAAATATTATATAAATATATATAAAATAAAATAAAATTATATTAAATTAATGTTCGTGAACATAATCGAACATTCACGAACGAGCTCGTGTTCGTTCGATTATTAAACGAGCCTAATTTTCTGTTCGAACTCGGTTCGATTAATAAACAAACGAGCTTTAATTTGTCGAACACGAACGAGCTTTTGTTTGCAAACGTTCAGTTCGTTTACAACTCTAACTACTACAATATTATGTCGATATTATATGATCCACCAAATTTTCTTTCAAGTAAATAAAAACAAAAATAAAATTCAGAAAAAAAAAAATTAAAAAATTATTGTCCTTCAGATAGAAACAAAGCCACAACCGCAAATATATTCCATCTCAGGGGCTCCATCGTCAATTTGCTTCCTATGTGTGGATAAATTATTGTCGACGACTTGTTTGACTCGCGACGTCAATTTTCCTCGTCTCACCCGCTACACGATCGTCCGAACATCGGCCACGTGTAAATAACCATAATTTAGTGTTTTGTGGGACTTGCCGCATGAGCTTCTATCCAATGAGAAGCAGCCACGCAGACAAGTACCTGTACCCCACTACGCGAAGTGTGCGCCAATCAGATCTTTCCACGTCGGATGGGACGCTTGCGATGTGAGACCACGTGAGGGTCACGTGTTCGGACACGATTTTTGCAGGGTGGGGCCTACTTTATCCGAAAAGACCGTATATTGTGCCAGGTTTTGGAGAAAATGAGAAGAAAGAGAGATTGCGTGTCGCCTGATATCTTTTCTGCGGTTTTAATTTTGAGGAGTGGTGTTTGGGCCTTCGTTACTATCTAAACCCACATTGGGGCCCACTCTAATGAATAATTTGAAAAACAACATTGGGCGATGCATATATTTATATTTGTTATAAAATGCGAGGAAGATAAAGAACACAATGTAAAAACCGAATATAAATTATAAGATGCTTTTCTTCTTTCACTTATTTCGTGCTTCAATTTCACTACATTTCTTGCCTTTTTATAGCCAAAATTGGCACACATTTCAACACACTTACTAATATAATAATGACAATGATAAGATTTGTAGTAGTGGTAAATTCCACTTTTACATAACAATATTTATATTATTTCCTTATAAGAAAAATAAATTACTTATCAGTTATAATTAAAAAATAATAAAATATTGTTTATAAATTACTAAATTTATATACAAAATATATTTACATGACACTAGTTTTAAAATCTATATAGATATAATTACTAGCTAAACATTTAATAAAACGTATTTATATTTACATATGTGGCAATTTAACTCTTTCTCTAAAAAAACCGTTACATTCGATTTATTTAACCTGTTATTTAATTATTAGATAATCAACACACTAATTACTTCAAAATTACAAAAATCATTTAAAACTTTTGATTACTGACAGTTGACCATATAATGTGTTTACCGTATAATGTGATTAGATGTTATTATTGTGGTAATGTGGTTATATTAAAATTATTTTTTTAATAAATAAAAACGTATTTGAAAGTCCTGAATAAATAATAAATAATTCAAAGAAATACATATCAAAATATACATTACATCCAATCTGATAAACACAAATAAACGCATTTAAAAAAAAAATCAACTTCTTTAATTGTAAACTTGGCATGCAAAAAAGTGAAAGATAAATCATTAATCATTATATGTATACAACTAATTCACAATATGTTATTTACATATGAACAAATGCACGGGTCGAATACTAGTTTATTATAATAATGACGAGTGAACTTGATGATGATGATGATGATGCTTTCACAAAAATTACAAAAACTAATTTATTTATTG